AAACCACTGATGTTTCTCTAAAATGACAAAGATTTCGTTTCCAACTTTAGACTAAAATCTTCAAGTCATCATTTTCAGATAAGAGATGTTTGCTGGAGTTCTGTGTGTTTAAATCTGTGTTTTTTTTAATATTCAGACAGTAATGATAAWATTGTCATTGCCCACAGCCAGCTTTTAGCTAAAATCAGAACTTCATTTCTAAGACCTCAGAGCAGCAAAAGTGTCTTGTCTTTTTGTGCTCTTTCCTCAGAAGCACAACAGTATGAGAGTGTTTGGATGCTGAAAGCATCTTCATCAAGAATTCTGCTGAAGCTGCATTATTTAGCACCAGATSAGACTAAATAACTCTGGGCCGTCTCATTTACTGTACACTCACCAATGTGCTAATCTAAATCTATAAACTAGTTTATCTGATTAAAAACATTAGATTGCTACTGTTTAGCTGTTAGAACAACAAAGATCTGATAATGGCATTTATAACAATACTCAAAGAATTAGTTTGCAGAAATCCAACAATTGCCTCTATCAACAGTAACTATCACCACAATTTAAATCAATTYAAACCACATTCATTTTTCCTATAGAAACAGTTAGAATTACACCAAGCAATAGAAACAGACCAAACATATCTTTGTTTTTCCTGTTTATAATTTTTTTCTTATTCCATTTTTAGCAAAATACAAGCTACAAGCTGTGGTCCAAAAGTAGGATTTAGCCATGTTAAACTGAAGTTGAGTTTGAAGATGAGATAACTGAGTTTGAATATTGAGTATTTTCCCAGTTCATGTTGCTAAATATCCCTCTGTTGACCTTGCCATGGTGGAGGAGTTTGTGCACCTGAAGAATCCTAGGAGCTACGCTGTCAGGGATAATCAAAAATACCCCTGGTAGGGTCACCGATGGCAGATTGGTCCTAGATGACAGGCCAGACAAAGAATGACTCAAGTCAATGAACTTGGTGTCCTTTACACAGATGTGGGTCAGCGGGACCCCTTCCTGTAACTAGGCCTGGGGAAGGGGCTTGTCAGAAAGTGCCTGGTGGCCGGGTCTCTACCCATGAAACCTGGTCAGGCTCAATCCAAATGAGTTACATTGGTTTGCCTTCCTGTGAGTCCACCACAGGGGGCCGTATGAGTCAGGTGCATGAAGTCATGGGCAGTAGCCAAAGGCGGGGTCCATGGCACCCTGACCTACCAAAACTGGCTCTTGGGACATGGACTGTGACCTCTCTGGTGGGGAAGGAGCCTGAGTTTATACGTGAGGTTGAGGTACCGACTAGATATAATTGAGCTCACCTCGACACACAGCAAAGGATCCGGAAGCAATCTCCTCATGAGGGGCTAAACATTATTATGACCCCCGCACTCGAAGTGAAAGCAGGAGTCATTTTGTTTTCGTACGTTTATTTTTCAGTGATATTTGGTCAACCGTAGCACAAAAACAGCTGCACCGATCAACATGAAATTTGGCAGGACTGTAGATGAGTCTGACCTACACTGTGCCAGCCAAAAGTTTTACGATACACACCATATTTGAGGAGGGGGCTCCTTTCAAAGAGGGGGTGTCAGTCCCACAGCATGTTGGAACCACCCCCACATTTTACTGTAGGTAGCAGGTGTTTCTCTTGGAGTGCTGTGTTCTTTTTCTTCCGTGCATAACGACCCTTGTTCTGCCCAAATAACTATTTTAGTTTCATCAGTCCACAGCACCTTATTCCAAAATGAAGCTGGCTTGTCCAAATGTGCRTTAGCATACCTCAAGCAGCTCTGTTTGTGATGTGGGRGGAGAAAAGTCTTCCTCTGCATCACTCTCACATACAGCATCTCCTTGTGTAAAGTGTGCTGAATAGTTGAACGATGCACAGTGACTCCATCAGCAGCAAGATGATGTTGTAGGTCTTTGGTGCTGYTCTGTGGGTTGACTCTGACTGTTCTCAACATCCTTCACTTCTGTTTATTCATGATTTTTCTTGTTCTGCCACTTCCAGCCTTGACTTGAACTGTGCCTGTGGTCCTCCATTTTCTCACAATGTTTCTCACAGTGGAGACTGAAAGCTGAAATCTCTGATAACTTTCTGTATCCTTCCCCTAAACCATGATGGTGAACAATCTTTGTCTTCAGCTCATTTGAAAGTTGTTTTCAGACTCCCATGCTGRGACTCTTCAGAGAAGATGCAAAGAGGAGAAAAACTTACAATTGCCCCCCTTAAATACCCTTTCTCATAATTGGAGTCACCTGTGTATGGAGGCCAAGGGTCACTAAACTTACCAAACCAAATTTAAGTTCCAATAATTAGTTCTAAAGGTTTTAAAATTAATAAAATGACAACAGTGCCCAAATTTATGCACCTGCCTAATTTTGTTTAACCAATTATTGCACACTTTCTGTAAATCTTATGAACTTCATTTCACTTCTCAGATATCACTGTGTTTGTCCCATTTATGATATATTTAATTGATATTTTTTATCCAAACAATCAATGATTTATAAAGGTAAATCAGGAAAATTAACAAGGCTGCCCAAACTTTCGCACCCCACTGTATTATCACCTAGTGGATAAGTGACACACAAATGAACAAAATGTGTGACAGCTTTCACCCTCAGCTGTTAATATTAACATTGATCAATAACATTTATAGACCTCAGTTAGCACTTATAAATTTAGCTTGGAAATTTATCAAGGGCTAATCCACAAATAAATTTTAACTTTAGCAAAAGCACTAAACAGGAAATTAATTCCCCTATTAATGCTTTAGGGAAACTGCCCACCACTGGTTCCTACCCTCACCTATGACCACAAACTCTGGGTAGTGACCAAAAGAATGAGATCACTGATAGCTGGACTCTCTCTTCAAGATAGGGTGAAAAGTTCAGTTATTCGGAAGAGACTCAGAGTAGTGTTGTTTGCTCCTCCACATCCAGATGAGCCAGTTGAGGTGGTTCAGACATCTGGTAAGGATGATCCCTGGACATCTCCCTATGGAGGTGCTACTGGGAGGAGACCCTAAGGAAGACCCAGGACATGCTGGAGAGACTGTGTCTCTCAGCTGGCCTGGGAACACCTTAGAATCCTCCCAGAAGAGCTGGATGTGGAGAGAGAGGCCTGGGCCTCCCTGCTCAAGCTGCCCCCARGACGTGACTCGAAACAAACAGAAGCTAATGGATGGATGTAGCTTAATAACTGCTTGTAATGTAGCTGTTTAAAGTTCATTTATCTCCAGTTCTTMCTCTGTATAATCAGCTAAAAATGTAACGATAGGAACATAAGGAGCATTTGCTTGAACTGCATAAAAAGTTTTGAGTTATTTTAGATGGTGTTTTAGGTCTTAAACAGGCCCCACTCTGAATATTAATGTAGGTTTCTCCTCAATGAGAATTTCACCCTGACTGCTGTCTGCTGCAGGTGAGATACTGATTACACAAAATCTTACACAAATTCGTAAACATCCTTTTAGCGTCCCTTCTTGCTGTCTGATGGTACCAAGCCTTGTTTCAGGAACCCCTGCTTTAAACCTTTAGGAGTAACTCACCTTAAGTGGAACACTATTTAAACTCCCATAAATGTATTAGTCCTCCTAATGTCAGTAACACGGCTGCTTGTCAGCTAAAGGGGACAGGTGTGCTCTTTGGTTTGCACAATCAGGTTACCAAAAAAAAAGTGTAATCACATAGCCTCTTGTTATCTAACTCTATTTGTAGCTGTAGCATGAAGAGACGTTGTCCAGAGGATTAGAGGTTTGGTTTTCAGCCATTGCAGTGTGCCAAATTACCACTGAGCACGAAACTCTCATTGACCCCAATGTGCCAATCAGTGTATGAGTGAGAATATAGTAGCAGCACTGTGTGTAGAGGGTGTAAAAAGTATAAAAAAGTTTATTGTATGTGTGATTGTGAATGAAAAGCATTGTAAGCTGTTAGAGAAATGGTGGCTTATATTGGTTTCAGTTCTTAAACATATTGACACAAACTATGAGTTTTAGGTTTTTATGAGTCTTTAGTAAAGAATGGTCATGAAAGACTTTGGCTTCAGAGGATCCCAAAGACCCTAAAGCGAGGGCTGGATCAATGGTTTTGCTTCCAGCAGTTAAAAGAAGATGATCACATGATAACCCTTAAGGCAGGATGTTAAATGGCAACTACCAGGAAAAGTACTGAAGGATTTTTATTTAGTTCTTTTGGGGGAATGTACTGAAAAATTTCCACTTTAAATTATTTTTATGTGATCCCTTGTAAGGTTGTTTACCAGAAAACAACCAGCTGCACCTTTAGTCCGTTCCATATTTTTTTATTGCAAAAACAGAAGTTCTCCTAATTCAAACTGGCAGAATCGTATAGTTTATAAAAAAATAAACGACACTAACACAAAGCACTTTGCAGAACCTGAAGAGATTAAAAGTGTGACCCATTTACTGTTTAACAGAGCTTCTTCATGGACAATCAACACAAACTTAAATTAGAGGACTTTTTTAACTCTGTCCTAACGTTATAAAAATATTGTTTAAAAGGAAGACTAAACAATTAGTTCTGSATTATTTGCTCACCTGAAGACTCGGGGAGGACCAGACACTGTTCAGACTTCATTTATTCAATTCAATTAATCAAATCTAAAAAATGAAAATATAATATTAATTGATGAATCATCAAAAAACTGTACAGATTATACYTTCAAGCATAGTGGAGATGCTTTTACCTGACAAGGTTTACCTGAATGTTACATTTCTAATGATTTTAAATCTGTTTATTTACAGTACATATTAGTTTATTTAAATTAAAGTTTATGTTTTCTTAAACATGTTGGGTCATGTTGCAACGAGTCGAGCTCATCCTGTTTTAAAAGTTTTGAATGTAAAATAAATGTAATCAAATTTTTTTTCACCATTACTTTTTCAAAGTAACTATGGCTTGTTTTAAAATAATTTATTCTCACCTAAAGATTCTAATGTGTCGCATTGCACATAATTTTTTGTGTTATTTTTGACATACTCACTTTTTTTGGGCAGAAAAATGTCAAAGTGATGAAGTTAACAGCTGGAGAGTCTCTGCAGAAAACGAGCGTGGAGAGAGCAGCAGAGGAACAGACTTTAATCAGCCCAGAAAGAAGAACAACTCCCCGCCTCGTCTTTTCTCTTTGAACAAGAARCAGATGAGATATTCTGCTGCTGTGTCGAACAACACAGACGACCTGTCTGCCTCTCAGCAGAGCAACATGGCAGGTCAGTGTCGACAAAACACTCAACACACAATTTGTTGTCATAAACCTCAAAATAGGTTCAAAATGGAAAAATTATTTTTGCTTTAAGTTGAGTTTTTGATCAGATAGATTTTTTATTGATATAATAGAGATTTATATGAAAATAATGTCATTAAAAGGATTAAAAATAATCTTTATTACTAGCAGCGTAAGCATGTTTGAAGTTCAAATGATCAGTTATGAACCTGACTTGTGGGAAAAGGTGGAGCAGAGGTTTAGGACAGTGGTTCCCTTGTTTGTATATAAAAATTAACAAAACAAGTAGGCCTATTGAAGCATTAAAACTCTATACGACATTTCCCTTTTCCAAATAAAAGTTCAACTATTCACTTCATTATTTTATTATTTTGATAAAGAGAGAAAGGATGAATGTGTCTTTGGGAAGAGTTGGGGTGTGTAGATGTCAAAACAGTTGCCTCTCAGCATGAAATCTCTGATTTAGTTGTGCATGTTCTTATTTTCATCTTGAGTTAATTATATTTGTACGTAACTGAGCATATCCGACAAAAAAAAAATCATAACATTAGATGGACTGAGCAAGATAAAATCTTGTGGGCATAACATTAAAGTGCATCTATAAGTAACACAACTTTAGCCCATTACATTGACCTAATATAACTCAGATCTGAGGCCCTCATTCAATTGGTTGATGACTCTACTCTCTCTAAAAATCTTGAATTTTGCTGCCGTTACATGTTTTGTCTTTKTGTCTTTATGCCAGTTTTGGCACAACCCTCTCATCAGGATTCAGCTATAATCTAAAGAATCACACCATGCTAGCACAATATCACATCTGCATTAGGTTGTGACCTTGTCACAATCACAGACACAACCTAGGCAGGAGGCCATGTGTAGCCAGACCTGCTCCAAATTTCCTGACAGCCCAGCCACGTTGGTGCAGACGAAGCTCACATCATGAATATGCTGCAGCCATGCTCCACCATGCAGCAGGGTGTAAAGGTACAGCTAATGTATGGTTCAGTATTTACCTTGGAAGGGTTTAGTATGGACTCAATACAACTGGAAAAAGAAWCAAATGGCAAATACTTGTGTTTTTTTAACAACAGACAATAACTTTTCCTGAAGTAGAGACAGAAAGACAAAGCACTCCTGRMAGTGGGGAAAGTCTAAGGTAGAAGYTGATGTTACAGRGGTYGATTTGTCAGCTGGTAACTTCACTATGAAATTAAAATAATCTCATTGTCCAACCTTTTTCACTCAGTCCGAACTGTAAASTGGGTCCTACAGGCCATGGGTCAAAAAAAAAAAGTTCAATCACCTCCAGAAATGCTGAGAAGATGTAAATGTAGTGAAGTTGGCATCCAGTGTGCACCAGACCTAAAAACACCCCCATAAACAGCAAATTCTGTCATTTCTGCAAAAACTCATATTTTTACAGGAAGTACATATATATAAAACATTAAAAATAAATCACCAGTTTTTGCTGCAAACTTGGTTTTGATGACGATCAGAATTCAAAAATACATTCCAAGAAAATACATATTAACGTAYATTTGGAAGGATCTGCAGTCGGTTAAGCTTTTCTACAATTTTTTCTCCATTTTTGAATCTTGCAAAGATGCTTTTTCAACCTGTTCCCTTCGAGTAACTGGCTCCTCACGGCCAGTGTCATTTGATGATCTCACACTTCATAGCTCCCATGAGGAAAACGTTTGGCAAAGGCTGCTGAGGAGACACAAAGCTCAGTTTTACTGCAACCACAAGGCTTGTTGGAAGAGCTCCTGACGAAGTATACAAGAGAGACTCCTGGTAATTGATTATGTCTCCAAGCAGCTTTCTTGCTTGTCTCTCTGTGAGGGAGCAGGGCATGATTTTCTAAATTATGCATGAATAAAAGGAGGGAAAGAGGCTTTTAAAGTGTTTGAAGATGTAAGCAAAGGCCAGCAGCTCCAGCTGAGATGATTTATGCTCCAGTAACCATTTTCAGCTATAGTTGCTGTACTTTATTTTAAAGATTTGGAATCCTTTTTGGAAACAAAAGTTGAGGATTAAAAATAAAACCAAATGTTTAGTAATCCATTGTCCTGTCCTGTGTGTGTGTGTGTTCTTTAGTCGACTGTGCAGACATTGTCCTCAACTGTCTCTTCTGTCGGCTTTATGGCATCTTACCCGATTCCTGCGAGAGACTCACCAACCACTGCTGGCCCAACTACAAACACGTCGTCACCACAGTGGAGTCCACGCACAGCGAGGACGATGACTCTTGTGTAGAACTGGACTGTGGTTTTTTTGGYAGCTGCCATGATGCAAGTGACTGTCTGGAGCTGGCCATGGAGGTCTCTGAAATATGCTTTCACTAAGAAGAGTACTAAGTACGTACAAATTGTGGTGTCTCAGGAGAAAAAGACACAAAACATTTAAAAAAAATTCAAAATTAAAGGTTTAATGTTTTAGGATATTAGCATAGCTATACATGTATAAATAATTAAATGCCATGATTTGTCTTATGTGCACAAAATACAATCTGAAAAAGTTTGATTATTTTATTCGCAGAGAGAGATTTTCTTAGAGGTGACAAAGATGTTCCAGCAAGAAAGCAAAACATGTTGGAAAATATTTCCTTTGAACTTTATGCATTTAAGTTATTTMTCTATAGCTTCAAATGACACAAATCATCACTTCACTGAGTGTTTTCTATTTTTTTCAGCAAATTCATATTTTCCCCAGATTCACATACCGTATATGCCAAGTTGTGCAAATTGTCTGTAAATTACATGGATTTTCACTCATTTTGCAGGTATCGTCATAGAAAAATCTGTTTTTCACATATTCAACTTCAAAATTATTTTATGTCTCAGAACCAGTATGTAATAAAT